TCGATTTTTTTTTGCATGATAGCATGCTAGTTAACATTCGTGTCAGTCAGTTGTTGGCTCTCACTCTGGCCAGTAGTTCTTCCTGCCTATTCGTGGCAGCCAGCTATAGGCTCTCTCTCTCTGGCCAGTAGAAAAAAAATGAAAACTGCGGTAGAAGCATGAAAAAATTGATTATTTCCACTATCGATGGGAGTTAGGAAATGCAAAGTCGGTTTTGGCCTTCCCGCTAACTTGGAGCATGTGCATTTAAATTTTGGTGCAAATCCGTCAAAAATTGCGGCCATGCATTCGTTACACACACACACACACACACACACACACACACACACACACACACACACACACACACACACACACACACGCGCACACACACACACACACACACACACCCTGCCTTTTATAGATAGAGATTTACCAAGTTTACACATAAATATCTCGAAATATTTAATAAATTTATTCAATAAAATCGCCATAGGCTTCAACCCCGGCCTTTAGACGAGTTCGAAATCTCCTGCATCTCTTCTGGACGGTCTCTCATTTTAAGTTGTTTAATGCTACCATAATCCTTTCATTCAGTTCATGCTTGTGTTACAAGGAGTTTTGTTGGTCTATTGTCATCAAGAGGCTTGTAGTCTAGGGAGTTAGGTGGCAAGATGTTAGGGGTGATATGATCGCAGGAATTGTCTGACTGCTTCCACCTGCTTGTGTAGCATGGTACAGAGTCCTGTTGCTAGACATAGGATTTTCCAGCAGCCACTCTCTTGACTCAGGACAGTACTACCACCTCAAGGCACTTCATGTAAGCATCTATGTTTAGTCTGAGGCGCTTACTAACAAATTCAGGAATTCTGTCAGAGTGTTTTTTTTCCGACGTGCCGTACCTTTGTAATGACCATCAGACTCATCCAGTTTCCGAATCGTCTGCAGTTTTCAGATTGACATCTAAACACTCTGAAATTTTGGTATTCGAGTTCTTCATTTATATATATATATATATATATATATATATATATATATATATATATATATATATATATATATATATATATATGAGTGAGTGTGTGTGTATATATATATATATATATATATATATATATATATATTGAGAAATGGACAAATTCCGACAAGTTATTTATTAAAGACATTTTATGTTTAACGTTTTTTGCTTGTATCTATAAAAAGAACGTTAAACATAAAATGTCTTTAATAAATATATATATATATATATATATATATATATATATATATATATATATATATATAAATTTGACAAATGGAAATACACACACAAAAATACACACACGCATATATATAAAAATGGATTAAGTCCGACAACCATTTAATATATTTTCTGTTCATAAATTGTATTTATAAAAATAACGATGTAAACAGAATATATATATATATATATATATATATATATTGTAACATATATATATATATATATATGTATATATATATATATTAAGTACTTTTACTCGCTTACATGTGTATATACATATATATATATATATATATATATATATACATATGTGTGTGTGTGTGTGTGTGTGTGTGTGTGTGTACATTGACGTCAACAATCTGCAAGGACAAAGTGTTTCATGATTAAAAGCAATGATTACACTATGTGTGTATTTACAAACGAAACAGAATGTTGCCTCTTGGTACTGACCTCAATGTCCAGTTTTATATTTAGATATGTTTATCACCGATATCGAGCACTTTAACTCATAAATCTAGCATATTTTAAACTATATTACACACACACACACACACACACACACACACACACACACACACACACACACACACACACACACACATCCAGTGACTAGACGCAAAGTGTTGCCAATTAAATATCAGAATTGAATAAAATCAAAAAGAACTTGGATAGTTGAGTTAAAGGGAAATAACTGATACATCCGAAAGAGGTATGGCACGTGGAGCTAGAACAATTTACTCCGGCGGACGAAATAAAGGGTTCGGTTCGAAAATCCAATCACTTGAAGGACGGCCGAAAATTTGTGAATATGCCAATGAGGATAACAGTACAAAAAATGTAATTGACTACAGATAAAATGTATTGTTGCTAAATCTATGAAATTGTATTGCTGGTTATTTTTCTTTAAAATTGCATTGCTAGGATTTTGCTATAAATAGGTATTTTGGGGCCATTTTACAGTATAAAAATATATTGCTGGTCATTTTAAAATATAAAAATGTATTGCTGTCACTTTTATGATTTCATCGTGTTTGGTTTTTGTTTGGGGTTCACTGTTTGCCCATAACTGGGACCCTAAGGGCAGAGTGCACCTGGGAACAATAGCAATTAGGTGAGGGTTCCACGCTGCTCAAAGCCTCCAACCTCCAGAGGCTTTGCTGCTGGATGTTGTTTACCATCATGAAGAGTTATTATGTACGTTATTTACATTATTCGGACTATTGTCCTCATCTTTGTCGCCATATTTATCACAACGTTTCGGCCGTTGTACGCTCCGGCCTTCTTCAGGTGGTTGTAATGTCGAACTGAACCCTTTATTTCGCTCACTGGGGTAGACTGTTCTAGTTCCATGTGTCCTGTTAATTTCTCTCTCCATGTTCCCCACTGCCTTAACCGGGTATTGAACTCACACTTTTTGGGTCCTGTCACTGGTTCTAACTAACGCCTTTATCCACTGTGCCATATGTCCTTAAGGAATTTTTCCTAGTCATCTGCATTATAAAAGAGGGCTCACGGCACTGGTTGAAAGACTGATTCTCGTCCGATCACCGAAGTTAAGTAACTTTGAGCCTGCTCAATACCTATATTGGTGACCACTCGAGAATAACAGTCAGTGTAATTTTGGAGGTGCGTGTGTAATGAATAACGGCTCGAAATTGGGGTCAATTTCTTTGTATTCACTTATGTTCAACCATTCTTGGGAAAGTTATGAATCCACCACTTCTCCCATCTGTAGGCTAAACAGTAATCAGTAAATCATTATCTTCTTAAAGAAATTCTTACAATCCAAAAAGAGGTTTTGGATTTAAATAACCTTTAAAAGGTTGATAAGCTGTAAAAATTATCAATTAAACAAACAATATACTATAAAAGAAGAGATTATATTTTGTCCGTCATTACGCTGCCTGCTCAAGACTTTGCATGCGCTTGTGTAGTGTGTATGTATGTGGCGTGAGTATGTTACTTACATGTGTTTATGCCATTTAATGTATACACATAATTTGAATGGCTTTGAAATAAGACATTGGAAAAATACACTTCCACTCACTCAGACTGGATATTTTGATTGGTTGATTTGTTTTTAAGGTTTATGATCTCTGTGTTGGTTACTTAAAGCCAAAACGTATTTCAGATTATAGATATGACATATTGAATAATCACACTGTATTGCCATCAGGTCTTTTAAGGTGAATTGCCTCTTTGAGCCGGTTCATTTGTTCAATGTACAATTCAGCATCGACTGATTGGTTGCTTTTGAGGCACTGAGTGAGGATGACAAGCGACAGTAACAGGAAAGCTTGCCATCTTCTGTGCCAATTCCTTAGGGGTCTCGCGCAGTTCTTCTTTAAACGGCGCCTGCAATTGTTTCTTATCAAACTGAAGAGGTCAGTCAGAACACATGGATTCTGTGAGTTCGATCTTCCCCTCCTTGAAACCATTTTTGTGCCATTCTGTCGGTAATGAAGTCATCTCCGTCCACAGTACAAATGTCTTGAGCAGCTTTGTGGGCATGATTAAAATCAAGAAGAGAATGTCGAATATGCTCATTTTTGTCTACTCGGCATACAATCTGAAAGAGGTGTTTAATCTGAAAATGAAATGTCAATATCTTCAGACATGAGATTCTCTCGAGGCATGTACCTGCTAACTTTTATTTTCGTATAATGTGGGTGCTATTTTTTACCAAGATAATATAAGGTCGAAATGCTTCTTTTTTTTAATTTTGTGGTATAAAATATTAAATCCGTTATCGCTATTTTGGCTGTACTAAAAGCCATTTCAAAATGAGAAAGGTGAACGCCATCTTTATTCTTGTCATCTGCATGGTTGATGTGTTTTCATTAAATGCGATACTCAATAATCGAAGAGGTTGTGAACAGATTAAGCGGAGGGAGAAAAATGAAGTCAAAATAGAAACCGACAAATATAAATAAAATAATAACAAAAAATTAGATTTTTAAAATTCAGCTGATTTTTTCATTTAAATATTAATTCCACCGTCATTATTTATTTATTTATTTATTTATGTTTTCACTGGAGTGTTTTCTTTTTGATTATATATTTCCGGCTTTATTTCTCCTTCTTCTTTCCCCCGTCTAATCTTTATTTTTCTCTTTTTTTTTCGAAGCAATTGTCTTTGTTTCTCCAATATTTATTCTATGGCCTTTCTACTCTTCATAGTGTTTCTCTTTAATCGTTTTTCATTTTAGAATGTTGTCCTTGTTGTTTTCTCTTTTTTTTTTTAAATTGCTAACTTTTCTTCGATTTAATTTTTCTTTATTCCATTTTAAAGAGGATTTCCTTTCGCACGTTCGTTCGATAGATTTTCATCTTGTTCATTTTGATTGACTTAAATGGTTTCTAAAATCTGTCTTTCTCTCTTTTATCATTTTATCCTAGGTTCTTGTTTGATGTTTTCATTTTTTGTATTGATCAATTTTTTTATTTTGCAGTATGACAGATTTCATTCATTATTTATTAACCTCTTTCTTGTTTCGTTTACATTTTATTTTTTATTTTACTTTCTCTTCTAAATTACTTTTCCTTTCCTTCTGAACTTTTTTCTTGTTTCTTTGTTTTTCTCCTTTCGATTTCACTTTTCTTTTTTTTTCCTTTTTCGTTCTGACATTTTTTTCCTTTCTTTTATTATTTTTATTATCTTTTTTTCTTCTGTCTGTTTGTCTTCTCTTTTTTTTCTATTTTTCGTTTTCTTTCTTTCTATTATTTTTTCGTGTTTCCATGAATTTTTTTTTATATTTGTTATTCCTACTTTTCTTAGTTTATTTCTTCTTTTCTCTTCGAAATTACTTTTTACTCTTTTCATTCGTTTTTCTTGTCTTCAAAATTTCACCATTTTTTCCTTTTTTCCGTTCTTTTTCACATTTTTTTTTCTGTATTTTCATTTTTCATTCCGACTTTCTTTTCCTTTCTTTTATTATCACTTTTTCCATCTTTCTTTCTCCTAGTTTTCTTTTTCTCTGGTTTTCGTTTTTCTTTCCTTCTAGTCTCTTTTTTTCTTGCTTCTTTGAATTTTTTAAAAATATTTTTGCTCTTTTTTATTAATTTTCTTTTCTCTCTTTCTTTCTCTAATTATTTGTTTATTCTGACTTTCATTAGCTTTCGTCTATTAATTTCTATTTTCTTTCTTTCTTTTTTTCTTTCATTCTTTTATTCATATTCTTCTTTTCTTTTAATTGCATCTAGTTTTTAACCTTCAATTTATTTCGTCGTAGCTTTTTGTCTCTTTTTTTCATTCCTCTTATATTTCTTTATATTTTCTTTCATTCAGTTACTTTTATTCTTCTGATTGTTTTTTCTATCATCATTTTATCTTTCTTAATTTTCTTATTTCTACATTATACATTTTATTCCCATATTTTCTTTCTTTCTACACTTATATTCATTTACTTCATTATCTTTCAAACTTTCATTTAGTTTTCTTCCTTCTAATAATAATTTAATTGCTTTCTCTTTTTCCTCCTTCTTTCTTGAGGCTTTCATCTCTTTTCTTTCTTCTTTATTTTTCCGTTATTCTTTTAGATAATTTAATGTCGTTTACTTCATTTCTTTGCCTTTGTTTATTTACTTTCTTTCATTTTATTTCCTTCGTCCATTTATTCATTCATTCATTCATTCATTCATCTCTCTTTCATAGTTGAGAGCTTTATTCATTATATCATCTAATATCTTAATTTCCCGCTTTTCTTCCAATCCGTTCTCCATCTTTATTCTAATTCGCTCCAATCCCAATCTCTTATTCTCTCCCTAACTTGATTTTCTCTTCTCCCCAACCTCTCCAACCTCCCCATCTCCCCAGCGCTTCTAAATTTTCTACTTTCCTTTCCTTCGCATCATCCACTACGTCTTCTCACTTTCCCCCTTTCTCTCTAACGTTTCTTTCCATTCCACCTGCGAGCATTTCCAATCAATATTTACTTAATTTAGAAAGAATTTCATCATTTTTAGTGAAAAGGTCAATCGTAACATGCAATTCGTTTTGCTCGATTAAGACGAGCTAATTACTTATTGATCTTTCGGCCCGAGTCCTATCACTCTGGCAATTTCATTAATTGATATTCTTGAAATATCTTGAAATATGCTTAAATTTCCTTTTTTTAGATTTTAAACATTTTTTAGTGTCAAAGGCGTTTTTTCCTACTGATATTTTTATACTTTTAATTTTGCAATTTCATTCTTATCCAAAATACAAATTTATCAATGTTTTTCGCTTTTTATTGCTGTTTTGTTTTTTAGTTTATCTTTTTCAAATTATTTTAACAATTATTTTTATTTTAGATATTACAGATTAAAAAAATTGATTATATATTTTATGATTGATTATCTTTTTCCTAAATTTTTATTGCTTTCATAAATGATTAATTTTTAAATCCAACTATATTCGTTTTGTTTATTTTATTTTTTTGATTTTAAATAAAGAGTCAAACTTAGGAAAATCAAATAAAATAATTAATATTTATGTTGAACTTTCCGTAATTGTCTTTCCTTTTATGTCTTGTATTTTAAAATAAAGCTGTTTATACAATCCGTAATTTCAACGTCCGGACTTATTAAACAAATGCATCAAATCACTCATTTGCTCTAATGGTTACATTTGGAACGGGACTACGGTTACTTTGACGTGGTTCATTGGTTAGCGAGTGTGTCTTTCTAGACCAATTAGTTAGTGAGTTCGATTCTCCCTGTGTGCTGCATACTTTCAGCTTCGTGTCACATCTAAACTACCCTTGTAGATTGAGACAGTGAAAAGTTTCTAATATTACGATAGAAATGCTTAATTGTTTTTTATCTGTTTTAATAAATATGCCACAATTATATTCACTGTGATAATGACATATGAACAAATCTCAAATATGTAAGAAATTATTGTAATACGCTGAAAATTATTTACTATAAGAACAATATTATAATAATTTTTCAAATACATCATAATATACATTCAATAAATTATATATTTAAAGTAAGTATAGTAAGTTGATCAAGATATATATAGATAATAGATATTAATATTAGCAGATATAATAAAATTAATATATATATATATATATATATATATATATATATATATATATATATATATATAATTTAATTTAATGATGCAAATTAAAAACCAGTATAAACAGTTCTGGTCATCACGGGGAGGGGTGAGATAAGCAGTTTGATATTTTTTATAATGGAGAGAACAAATTACACACGATACAATAAAGGTGAGGTGATCGTCTGTTGTTCCTGATTTTAAGAACTCTGGTGAACCATCCGACCCATCCAACTATCGGCCTGATAGTCTTCTATCTCTTTTTTAGGAAACTCCTAGTGGTCTTAATCAATGCACAAGCATCTCAGTCTGTTCTCAGTCAAGCAGTACGACTTTCTTATCTCTAGATCCACTGCTGATGTTCTGATAATTGCGGAAATAATCTATCATGTCAGTCACCTATGTGCCATGTGTGATACACGCTTAGGCAATAATATATCTTTCGATACATGACTGGCATGGCAGATTTTTTCCCGCAGTAGGTTGCCATTTCTTTCTGCGGTAGACCAGTTGTCACCCACGTCTTTATAACCAAGTCTGTCTTTCTATTTACCAATAGCTGGGGAATTCATACCATTCCCAAGGGTATTAGCATGTAAGTGAATGTAATGGATTCGACTGGAATTCAAAGTAAGCTATCCTATTCCGAGCCTCTATCCATTACCCCAGCGTGCCTCATCCATGTACTAGATAAAAACAGTGAATCCTGGGCTCTAGCGTTGGACATCTCGAAAGCCTTTGGCAGGGTCTGGTATTCAAATCATCGACACAAGCTGAAAAGTTGCGGTATATTCGGGCATATTTTTAAGGTGATCTAGTCTTTCCTATCAAATCGTGTAATGAAAATTATCCTGAACGGCCACTCTTCTAGGTCCTTTCGTACTAACGCTAGTGAAAGGGGTCCGCATTTTTTAAATCTTCATTAATGACCTTCCCGATTATATCCAATCTCGGCATCTACGCTGACGACACTCACATTTACTCCTGCTTCGATAGTAAGGCTGATCATTCAGTCCGACAAGGCATCTGATGTACAAAACTACCTCAAGATCGTTGTTAACTCGGGCAAAATATGTCTTGTGAATTTTAAATCCTCCAAAACTAAACTTCCATACATTAACTATCTGAGAAACGCCTCTCTGCCTTCTATTAGCATGGCTGATGCTAACCTCCATTAGAGTGACTTGTTGCACCTTGTCAGGCTAACGTTCCCGGCTGGCACGAAGTGGAAAAGACTATATTGAATCCATTGCAAGGTCAGCTTCTTAAATATCGGTTCACTGTGACGGGCGAGATAATGTTTCTCTCCAGAATCTGTCTTACATATTTATATGTATATCATTCTTCTGTGACGTCACCCAGAGCTGTCTGCCCCACACTCCGTCTATCCTGCGACAACCAATGTAACTTGGTATTGGTCGCAGCACCAAACGTGACGTTCTAACCCTTTGCTGATTCGGATGGGAATATGGTTAGATTCGGTATCAGCCTTGTCGTTCCCAGATCGCCTCCAACGTCTGGTTACCGAAGTAACTGCTTTGATTTCTAGTCTAACATACCAACGTTGTGATTGGATCTTAGGTAGACGAAATCAATCAGTCGCCAGGCTGCAATGCAAGTCGAGTCCGAACAAGGGTAATACCGCACAAGTATATGTAAAAGAAAATAATGTAACAACTCGAAAAGATCAAATGTTTTAAAAAATAATAACAATATTTTATATCTGGTTGCTGAGTACAGGACTGCATCTTTCTCCCAACCCGCTTATATTGATACGTGACACTTTGCGTTTGTTAGGCGAGTCTTAACATCTTAATTTTTTTTTTCTTTAAGAAATTGGTTTTTGGTGTATCTTCAGGCGATATTCGTAAAACTTTTTTTGGTGGTGTGAGTCTAAATTGTTCTTGGTTAGAAGTTGGTTGTGATTGCGTAGGATCTCAGTCAGCTTTCTGCGAGGCGGGTCTCAGAGCTCACAGCTCAATTCTGCGTCTCTCTCTCCAACTTCCAACTCCAACTCAACTGCTTGCCTGTCTTACTAACCCCAACTACCGTCCACTCACTGCGACTCTGCTTATATGGACGCCGACCAAAACCGGGGTGGGCTTGTCGGGGTTTGAGTTTCCTTGATAATTCTAAATTCACAATAAGTATTTTCTTTGTTCTCGAACAGGAAAATTTATTACGTTCCACTTTTGGAAGTCCTTACTTTCTACTTAAAGGGAATCGTCCTCCCAAATTCTTCCTTTCTCATATTGGTATCTCACACCAATACCCTCAGAGGGCGTCAACAGGTTCCCCCTTCTCTCACAGTGGCATCTCACACCAATCCCTTCAGGGGCGTCAACAGGCCTCCCCTCCTTCTACATAGTTTACCTTCACCTACCGCTCACGCCACCCATCAGCCAATGAACGCTCAGTAGCGTGGGTGTTTGCAATTATCGCTCAAAGGAAAAAAATCTTCTTTCCTTTTTTTCTTTTTCTTTCTTTTCCACGAGCAGACCTCACACGACTCGTAGGATGGTCCCAAATCTCTATCTTAAAAAGAATCTCATCTGGAGTTCGTCAACGAGATCTTCGTCAAACAATCATTGAGATTGGTCAATGATTTTCCGCACCCTGTCGCCAATTATCTGTTCCGATAAAATAATTCTTCTATAATGGCCAGCTCTGACATAAAACAAGTGTTTTTTTTTTCAAATGATATCTGCGAAGGATAGTTAATGGTTTAATCTTTCCTTCCCCTCAACTTGCGGGTGGACCAGCCGACACCTCTCTCGGTCAGTGCGTGCTTGATTAACATTATCTCCTAGCATTCTGCTTTGTAGGCCACCTGACCAATTTGAAATTTTGAAATTTTCACTATTGCCATGGGCAGACGGCTATCTTCCATTCGCTCCGTCGCAACATAAATCAAATTAAATCCGGCAGATCCGAGATCTTACTTTCTTCGCTAATGAAAATAAAATCTTTACCACTTTTTTTGTTAGAAAAAATAACATCGCTCAGTGTCTTTTCGTGATAGCTTCTTATCACCTTAATCAACGCTCGCCTCTTTTTTTTTTTTTTTTTCACGCAACCCTAAATAGTGTCACACTTAGAATATTGCTGCCATATATGATCCGGTTCACCTGGTATTTACCTGGAGCTCCTTGATAAGA